TTTCCCCCCTTCGAGACTAATTAAGTCTCGAAAACAAAAATAATAGGATTATGACAAATAACAATTTTTCTTATTGAGTAACTTTAGCAATAAACCAAAATGTATGGAGAGTAAACACATTTTTCTATGGAGTGTAAATAAATTTCTATGAAATTATGAACAAATCTTTATGGAGTGTGAGAGCGAAAAACCTGTCTGGCAGCTTTCTTTCCAAATATCCATCAATCAATCAAGACAGTAAAATTCTCTCACGGCCCCTCTGCCCCAGGCAACCACCTAAGTACTCCAGATCAATTCATAAATCTTTATCAATGCATTTTAAACTATGATGCAATTGAATACACATGAAAGCCTCAGAAAACAAAATACAATCAAAAATGTCCACATTCAGGCTGGTCGACCCATCGGACCCTCCTGTGGATTCTCTCTGTCCCTGCCTAGACCCAATATCCCTAAGCATCCACTAAATAAACAAACATCTGAGATCCCCACATGTACCCAACAACAGAAAATATCATTCTTCAAAAATTAATACAGAAAGAATATGGCACAAATGATGTATTACACATGCAAATATGTCTATATATCATTGCAGACACTGGAATGTAGTCCACTACACTTCATCTCCTCAGCTGTGTCGACTTTCAATGAAACGTCGATGATGGAATCTGAACATTTCCACACCTTCCTTGTTCCACTTCCTCCAGTCCATTCATATTGTCCATGTTTGAGTATTTGAATCCCCTCTACACATTCCCCCATATGCTTCTGGAAGAAAAGAAAACACCAAACAGTAATTTTGCAAAACAACACATGCAAATTAAAACATAAATATCAACAATAATATAAAAATGATATATAAAATGAATCACATTCCATTTCCCCCCTTTGATTCATAACAAAATACTAAATATCACAATAATATGTAAAAACGTGGAAAATGATCGGATATTCGAAATGGATATCTATCCATCAACACTCCATCCAGTCCCACTTGTTAATCTCCATCTAGATCAGTAACAGTTAACAACTGCATCTGAGTGTTGTCTCCAGGCATCACAACTCTAACCCATCTCAATATCTTAGCCTTCGCAAAAGTCAATAACAAAGTACAAAAGCAAAACATCACACACAGCGCTATAAGAGCTGCCACTAAAATCTGAACTATCACTGCTCCCACTGAGCCTAATTGATCTTGCAACCAAGCCTTCGCTGACCATCCAGCTCCTTCAGATCTACCAAACGCATCCCTTATATTCTTCAATGCATCTATAACACTAGTGATATTATCGGAACTATCTGTTATCAAAGTATAACAATCATCCCCCTTCAAGTTCATAGCCAAACATAATCCACCTTGTTTTGCTAAAATATAGTCAAGAGCCATGTCATGATTCAACAGCGTCAGTCTGTGACTTCTTTGAGTATTTGACAGAAGGTTAAACCCTCTTATCGTTTCATTTGCAAAACCCTGCAAAGTATAGGTAATATTATCAATGTGATCTGCCAAAAATGTTACACCATACCATGGAAAAAGTCCAAGTCCCCACTTCTCTCCTAGACTTATCTTCCAATGGTAGGCTTCCAGACTATGACATTTCTCCATGTCCCTTTTCACCCTATTTCCAAACCTAGAATCAGATTTATCTGTTTCCGGTGCTTCCCCTCTTTTAATGGTAAAAACCTGATATGGAAGCTTCAACGTCGACATGTACAGTGGGGAAAAAAAGTATTTAGCCAGCCACGAATTGTGCAAGTTCTCCCACTTAAAAAGATGAGAGAGGCCTGTAATTTTCATCATAGGTACACGTCAACTATGACAGACACATTGAGGGAAAAAAATCCAGAAAATCACATTGTAGGATTTTTTATGAATTTATTTGCAAATTATGGTGGAAAATAAGTATTTGGTCACCTACAAACGAGCAAGATTTCTGGCTCTCACAGACCTGTAACTTCTTCTTTAAGAGGCTCCTCTGTCCTTCACTCGTTACCTGTATTAATGGCACCTGTTTGAACTTGTTATCAGTATAAAAGACACCTGTCCACAACCTCAAACAGTCACACTCCAAACTCCACTATGGCCAAGACCAAAGAGCTGTCAAAGGACACCAGAAACAAAATTGTAGACCTGCACCAGGCTGGGAAGACTGAATCTGCAATAGGTAAGCAGCTTGGTTTGAAGAAATCAACTGTGGGAGTAATTATTAGGAAATGGAAGACATACAAGACCACTGATAATCTCCCTCGATCTGGAGCTCCACGCAAGATCTCACCCCGTGGGGTCAAAATGATCACAAGAACGGTGAGCAAAAATCCCAGAACCACACGGGGGGACCTAGTGAATGACCTGCAGAGAGCTGGGACCAAAGTAACAAAGCCTACCATCAGTAACACACTACGCCACCAGGGACTCAAATCCTGCAGTGCCAGACGTGTCCCCCTGCTTAAGCCAGTACATGTCCAGGCCCGTCTGAAGTTTGCTAGAGTGCATTTGGATGATCCAGAAGAGGATTGGGAGAATGTCATTTGGTCAGATGAAACCAAAATAGAACTTTTTGGTCAAAACTCAACTCGTCGTGTTTGGAGGACAAAGAATGCTGAGTTCCATCCAAAGAACACCATACCTACTGTGAAGCATGGGGGTGGAAACATCATGCTTTGGGGCTGTTTTTCTGCAAAGGGACCAGGACGACTGATCCGTGTAAAGGAAAGAATGAATGGGGCCATGTATCGTGAGATTTTGAGTGAAAACCTCCTTCCATCAGCAAGGGCATTGAAGATGAAACGTGGCTGGGTCTTTCAGCATGACAATGATCCCAAACACACCGCCTGGACAATGAAGGAGTGGCTTCGTAAGAAGCATTTCAAGGTCCTGGAGTGGCCTAGCCAGTCTCCAGATCTCAACCCCATAGAAAATCTTTGGAGGGAGTTGAAAGTCTGTGTTGCCCAGCGACAGCCCCAAAACATCACTGCTCTAGAGGAGATCTGCATGGAGGAATGGGCCAAAATACCAGCAACAGTGTGTGAAAACCTTGTGAAGACTTACAGAAAACGTTTGACCTGTGTCATTGCCAACAAAGGGTATATAACAAAGTATTGAGAAACTTTTGTTATTGACCAAATACTTATTTTCCACCATCATTTTTGCAAATAAATTCATAAAAAATCCTACAATGTGATTTTCTGGATTTTCTTTTCTCAATTTGTCTGTCATAGTTGACGTGTACCTATGATGAAAATTACAGGCCTCTCTCATCTTTTTAAGTGGGAGAACTTGCACAATTGGTGGCTGACTAAATACTTTTTTCCCCCACTGTAACAACATCCTTTCCATCCATAGGGTAAGAATATATATATTCTCTCACCACAAACCCCACCAAATATCTCTAAAATTCCCAATAGTCACATTGCCATGCAAAAGCTGATCTTTCACCATCAAAGTCCTGCTCTTCTTACTAAATGGAACATAAAAAGTTACATTATATTTCTCATTACTAACCTTACATTCATGCTTACCAAAGTCATCATATAATCATCACAATCTGATATTCCCATAAACATACCCTGTCCATCATATGTTTTATTTTAACAAAAACAGCTTTTAGCCCTCACGGGTTTCACCTCCAATGCTTCAGGAAGCGCTGTTAACTGATTTTCCTTCCCGTCTAACAAATTCACATAGGGTAATTCATTTAACCAAGAACACTTAAACCTAGGCCTAAACAAATGCTTCCACATCGACATCATTATATCTGTTAATGATTGTTGCTGATACAACAGCCATGATAAAGCATAAGATTGACACGTACTTGGACGTACCCTGGACAAATTGTGCGCCGCCCCATGGGTCTCCCGGTTGCGGCCGGCTACGACAGAGCCTGGATTCGAACCAGGATCTCTAGTGGCACAGCTAGCACTGCGATGCAGTGCCTTAGACCACTGCACCACTTGGGAGGATATATGTTTTATCTTGAAGCGTGGATTCCGATTGGTCAGACCAGCATTGAATAGTCCTTAGCACGGGTACTTCCTGTTTGAGTTTCTGCCTATAGGAAGGGAGGAGCAAAATGGAGTCATGGTCAGATATGCCGAAAGGAGGGCGGGGGAGGGCCTTGTATGCATCCCGGAAGTTGGAGTAGCAGTGGTCGAGTGTTTCAGCAGCGCGAGTACTACAGTCGATGTGTTCATAGAACTTTGGCAGCCTTTTCCTCAAATTTGCTTTGTTAAAATCCCCAGCAAATAATATGGTCGGCATTTGATTGTGAGGTATTCTAGGTCGGGTGAACAAAAGGACTTGAGTTCCTGTATGTTATCACAATTACACCATGAGTCATTAATCATAAAACATACACCTCCGCCAGTCTGCTTCCCGGAGAGATATTTATTCCTGTCTGCACGATGAACTGAGAACCCAAATTGGATGACCGTTCAAAACATATTTTCAAAGTCGGAGCTCATTTATTCGCGACTTCCCAGTTGTCGTGAACTCACTGAAGTCAAGATTTCACAGTTCCGAGTTAACAGTTGTTTTGAGCGTGGCACAAATCATGCTTCATTGACAGCATGGCCAATGTTGAATGTTTATAATTTTTAACTTGGAAAAGAGCCCCTTAATCCCAGATTTGGGACAACACAGCCACTCCACTGAATAGCAGGCTAGTGATTGCTTTGCAATGCTTGCAGTTAGCCACTGTCACCGATTCCATCCAAGCCACTTATTGTTGAATTTGCAATTTTCAACTTGTTGTGTAATGTTTTTGTCCAATGGCCGATGAGCACCGATATGTTTTATCTATAAATTCTCTTCATTATTTCTCTTCAAGGAATTATTATTTTTGCCTAAAAATGTGGGGCTCAAAACATGAATGACTGGCGATTTCACAGCAGACCGGTGTTAAACCCCATCGAAGAAAAAGAAGATCAACGAAACCTCGTACAATTTTCATGCGAGATCCCTTACCGACCGTAGTGACGTCAATTTAGAGAGACACGCAACAATGGTGAGTGAGCAAGCAAATTTCTTTCTGGCTCATGTTTTGATTAGATATTACAAGTATTTACCAAGTTTTGTAGCTTGATATTAAAGATGTAGCAGTTTAATTTATACAGAAAATACGATTTTATGTAGTTGTTACATTTTAGAAACTCATTCGTTGTATAAAACCCTCATTATTGTCAGCTAACGTTAGCTAGCTGTTAGCTCTTACATTGACTAACGTTGCAGCGTTCAGTTTGCCGGTAGCTAGCTATCTAGCTAGCTTGCATGTTGATACCCGATCAAGAAATACATTTACATTTACGTCATTTAGCAGACGCTCTTATCCAGAGCGACTTACAAATTGGCGCATTCAAATACATAGCAGCGATTACTAATCGTAGTTAATCATCATACTCTGACAATTTAGTACTCGATGTTGAGTCTGTGGCCAGTTTACAGTAACTAAAGATGTCAATCAAGTCTAACGTTACCAACAATAAGTATGGTTCAAGGTTCATCGATTTATTTATTATACCTCCCAGGATATGTAGCTAACTAGCAAACTTGTATGATTTCAGGGTCAAAGCCAGAGTGGGGGCCATGGACCTGGTGGAGGCAAGAAGGATGACAAGGTGAGCATGACATGGCAACAACCAGAGCCTCTGACAACATCATCTCTATAGCTACCAGCTGAATCTTTCAGATTTCTGTGTTAACCTGCATTATTCTACTGCCACAAAACATGGCCCCATATCATATGTCAACAGGACAAGAAGAAGAAGTATGAGCCTCCCATCCCCACCAGAGTTGGGAAGAGGAAGAAGAAGAGCAAGGGACCAGATGCGGCCAGCAAGCTACCTTTAGGTAGCGTTACTAATGTCCCCTCACTTAGAGAAATGGTTATCTTTATAAATAACCTATCAACTCAATATCTAGCTTGGCGTTTTACGTCTTTTTCTGTATGTCATTTCTCACTCGCTTGTCAAGAGAAACAATATTGATAACATATGGCAAGGGTAGGCAACTAGATTCAGCCGCGGGGGCCGGAACATAATTATAATAATTAGTACACTGCAAATTAACCTCAACTAAGCCCAGAAATAGATTGTATTTGAAGAAAAAAAATCATTTCATACCTTGATTACATTGAGACACGATCATGTCTTATTTATTTATTCGTGGGAATACTTGGGAACAGATTTCCTAAACAATTTTTTTGAGGATTCCTGGTGATGTCAATCTTTTTTGACCAAAACTACCCCCCCCCCCCCCCCCCCCCCCCCCCCACAAAAAAAAAAATCACTTGGGCTGCCTGTTGCCTACCCCTTATGTATGCTATGTGTGTTTCCCCGTTACGTATGCAGTCACCCCTCACACCCACTGCCGGCTGAAGCTGCTGAAGCAGGAGAGGATCAAAGACTACCTGCTGATGGAGGAGGAGTTTATCAGGAACCAGGAGCAGATGAAACCGTTGGAGGAAAAACAGGAGGTACTGACTAAAGAGATATAAAATACTTTATTATATACACTCAGTGACCAGTTTATTAGGTACATCACCCCGTTCACGAAAAAGGTCCGCTCCTACAGACAGTGAGTTATGTGACTGTGGCTTGCTATATAGAGCAGGCAGACAGGCATTGAGGCATTCAGTTATTGTTCGATTGAAAGTTAGAATGGGCAAAACGAGCAACTTTGAGCTTGGTGTGATCGTCGGTGCCAGGCGCGTCGGTTCCAGTATCTCAGAAACGTCCGTCCTCCTGGGCTTGTCACGCACAAGTGTCTAGAGTTTACCGAGAATTGTGCGACAAACAAAAAACGTACAGTCAGCGGCAGTCCTGTGGACAAAAACATCTCGTTGATGAGAGCTCGGAGGAGAATGGCAAGAATCGTGCAAGCCGACAGGCGGGCCACAAACAGGCAAATGATGGATCAGAACAACAGTGGTGTGCAGAACGGCATCCCCGAACTCATAACTCGTCGATCCTTGTCACGGATGGCCTATTGCAGCAGACGACCACACCGGGTTCCACTCCTAAAATCAAGAAGAATAGGCACCAGTGGGCACGCGATCACCAACACTGTACAATTGAGGAGTGGAAAAACACTGCCTGGTCCAACGAGTCCTGGTTCCTGTTGATGGCAGAGTCAGGATTTGGCGTAAGCGGGATGAGTCCATGGCCCCATCCTGCCTGGTGTCAATGGTACAGTCTGGTAGCGGTGGTGTAATGGTGTGGGGAATGTTTTCCTGGTACACGTTAGGTCCCTTGATAACAATTGAGCCACGTTTCCATGCCCCGAAGAATTCAGGCTGTTCTGGAGGCAAAGGGAGGTCAGACCCGGTACTAGATGGGTGTACCTAATAAACTGGCCGCTGAGTGTATAATACTATATTATATAAACTCAGCAAAAAAAAAAAAAAAAAAACTTTCAGGTCTTCAAAGGTAATTCGTAAAAATCCAAATAACCTCACAGATCTTCATTGTAAAGTGTTTAAACACTGTTTCCCATGCTTGTTCAATGAACCATAAACAATTATTGAACATGCACCTGTGGAACGGTCGTTAAGACACTAACAGCTTACAGACGGTAGGCAATTAAGGTCACAGTTATGAAAACTTAGGACGCTAAAGAGGCCTTTCTACTGACTCTGAAAAACACCAAAAGAAAGATGCCCAGGGTCCCTGCTCATCTGCGTGAACGTGCCTTAGGCATGCTGCAAGGAGGCATGAGGACTGCCGATGTGGCCAGGGCAATAAATTGTAATGTCTGTACTGTGAGACGCCTAAGACAGCGCTACAGGGAGACAGGACGGACAGCTGATCGTCCTCGCAGTGGCAGACCACGTGTAACAGCACCTGCACAGGATCGGTACATCCGAACATCACACCTGCGGGACAGGCACAGGATGGCAACAACAACTGCCCGAGTTACACCACGAACACACAATCCCTCCATCAGTGCTCAGACTGTCCACAATAGGCTGAGAGAGGCTGGACTGAGGGCTTGTAGGCCTGTTGTAAGGCAGGTCCTCGCCAGACATCACCGGCAACAACTTTGCCTATGGGCACAAACCCACCGTCGCTGGACCAGACAGGACTGGCAAAAAGTGCTCTTTTTCTGACGAGTCGCGGTTTTGTCTCACCAGGGGTGATGGTCGGATTTGTGTTTATCTTCAAAGGAATGAGCGTTACTCCGAGGCTTGCACTCTGGAGCGGGATCGATTTGGATGTGGAGGGTCCGTCATGGTCTGGGTCGGTGTGTCACAGCATCATCAGACTGAGCTTGTTGTCATTGCAGGCAATCTCAACTCTGTGCGTTACAGGGAAGACATCCTCCTACCTCATGTGGTACCCTTCCTGCAGGCTCATCCTGACAAGACCCTCCAGCATAACAATGCCATACTGCTCGTTCTGTGCGTGATTTCCTGCAAGACAGGAATGTCAGTGTTCTGCCATGGCCAGCGAAGAGCCCGGATCTCAATCCCATTGAGTACGTCTGGGACCTGTTGGATCGGAGATTGAGGGTTAGGGCCATTCCCCCCCAGAAATGTCAGGGAACTTGCAGGTGCCTTGGTGGAAGAGTGGGGTAACATCTCACAGCAAGAACTGGCAAATCTGGTGCAGTCCATGAGGAGGAGATGCACTGCAGTACTTAATGCAGCTGGTGGCCACACCAGATACTGACTGAACTTTTGATTTTGACCCCCCCTTTGTTCAGGGACACATTATTCAATTTCTGTTAGTCACATCTGTGGAACTTGTTCAGTTTATGTCTCAGTTGTTCAATCTTGTTATGTTCATACAAATATTTACACATGTTAAGTTTGCTGATAATAAACGCAGTTGACAGTGAGCGGACGTTTATTTTTTTGCCTAGTTTATAATACTATATTACTGTAGTTTATCAGATGAAACCACTAAAGGAGAAACAGGTACTGAGACGGTAAACTGTCGGACATTTTACTTTTAAAAATATATATTTTTTGTAATTTATCTGACGCTCTTTTCCAGAGCCACTTACAGTTAGTGCATTCGTTTTAAGATAACTAGATGGGACAACCACATATCTCAGTCATAGTAAGTACATTTTTCCTCAATAAAGTTGCTATCAGCAAAGTCAGAGCTGGGGGGAGTCCCCCATAGGACCACAGAAGTGCTATGCCTGACTGTTGTTATATCTGTGTCTGTTTGCTAAATTCATTTCCCCTTTTCACAGGATAATGATTCACTTGATTTACTTGAGAAACCTGCCTTAGGGTATGTCAATTCAACTAATAAGTTATTGTCTTACATGTTTTTCCTGTGTCTGTTCTCCAGGAGGAGAGGTCCAAGGTGGATGATCTGAGGGGAACCCCCATGTCTGTGGGGAACCTGGAGGAGATCATTGATGATAACCATGCCATCGTGTCTACGTCAGTAGGGTCAGAGCACTACGTCAGCATCCTCTCCTTCGTAGACAAAGACCTGCTGGAGCCCGGCTGCTCTGTACTACTCAACCACAAGGTACTGACATATGTGTCTGCTCTGTACTACTCAACCACAAGGTACTGACATATGTGTCTGCTCTGTACTACTCAACCACAAGGTACTGACATATATGGCTGCTCTGTACTACTCAACCACAAGGTACTGACATATGTGGCTGCTCTGTACTACTCAACCACAAGGTACTGACATATATGGCTGCTCTGTACTACTCAACCACAAGGTACTGACATATGTGGCTGCTCTGTACTACTCAACCACAAGGTACTGACATATGTGTCTGCTCTGTACTACTCAACCACAAGGTACTGATATATGTGTCTGCTCTGTACTACTCAACCACAAGGTACTGACATATATGGCTGCTCTGTACTACTCAACCACAAGGTACTGACATATATGGCTGCTCTGTACTACTCAACCACAAGGTACTGACATATATGGCTGCTCTGTACTACTCAACCACAAGGTACTGACATATATGGCTGCTCTGTACTACTCAACCACAAGGTACTGACATATATGGCTGCTCTGTACTACTCAACCACAAGGTACTGACATATATGGCTGCTCTGTACTACTCAACCACAAGGTACTGACATATATGGCTGCTCTGTACTACTCAACCACAAGGTACTGACATATATGGCTGCTCTGTACTACTCAACCACAAGGTACTGACATATATGGCTGCTCTGTACTACTCAACCACAAAGTAAAGAAAAGTGTCTACCCACAGTCAGGAATGTAGCCTACGTCAATGCCTCTGAATTTGGCTTTTTGTTGTCATTAATAGTTTTGACTTTAATTAATTGCATTGTAATCTGAGATTACTCATGACTGTGTTTTTATGTTTTTAATCTTTGACAATATAATTGTGTGAAGCCAAAGTCCTCATTATGTATTGATATTATTATGTGTGGGTTGAGTAGTGAGTGACGTTGACTAACTCTGTCCTGTAGGTCCATGCTGTGATTGGTGTCCTAATGGACGACACTGATCCCCTGGTCACAGTGATGAAGGTGGAGAAGGCCCCTCAGGAGACCTACGCGGACATAGGAGGTCTGGACAGCCAGATCCAGGAAATCAAGGTACACAACCACAGCCTTTAATACTACATAAGGCTTTATAACACAGCTACTATCTGACATAGGAGTACTGGACAGCCAGATCTACAAGATCAAGATACAACAGAGTAGAGGGCATCACCCTACATAACATGGGCTCTATAACACTACATAAGACTCTATAACACTACATAAGACTCTATAACACTACATAGACTCTATAACACTACATAGACTCTATAACACTACATAACAGACTCTATAACACTACATAAGACTCTATAACACTACATAAGACTCTATAACACTACATAAGACTCTATAACACTACATAAGACTCTATAACACTACATAACATACTCTATAACACTACATAAGACTATATAACACTACATAGACTCTATAACACTGCATAATACTCTATAACACTACATAGACTCTATAACACAGTAACTTCCAGTGGTCATTACCATGTGTTTACCCTGTAACTAACCAGTATGTACAGCCTGATAGGGGAGGGACATGCTATACTCCACATATGCTCTTTAACGCTATACATTTTATGGTAACTACCATAATAACACTGGATGTTGTTCTGTAGGAGTCAGTGGAGCTGCCCCTCACCCACCCTGAGTACTATGAGGAGATGGGCATTAAGCCTCCTAAAGGAGTCATCCTCTACGGAGCACCTGGCACTGGTGAGTTAGATCAACATTTAACAATTCACATTCATCTACATTCATCTGTTTTAGAAAAATGTTTCTGGTCATTCAAACTGGAAATTATTTCCAAAGCTTCTCAAAACTGTTTACACAACAAGAAGCATCCAAACAATGTACATAATCCCTAAGACATGCATAGCAACAAACAGTATGTACAGGGTAACAGACATTGACATCCTATTACGTAATGTGCCGTGTGTGTGTGTGTGAGCCTGTTTGTGTCTCTCTGCTGATGTCTCTGTGTTCCTCTCTCTCTGTGTTAGGTAAGACCCTGCTGGCCAAGGCGGTGGCCAACCAGACGTCAGCTACGTTTCTGCGTGTGGTGGGCTCTGAGCTGATCCAGAAGTACCTTGGGGACGGGCCCAAGCTGGTCCGAGAGCTGTTCAGGGTGGCCGAGGAACACGCACCCTCCATCGTCTTCATCGATGAGATAGACGCCATCGGCACTAAAAGGTACTAATTCACTATAACCTTGTTAAAATACTTCCAACTGGATCCACTGATAAAAACATGGCTCTTGAAATGACCAGAGTTGTGTTCATTAGGCACGGAAGTGGAAGGAAACGGACTGAAACAGGGAGGGACTACCTGGACACAAATGTTTATTTTCCATTGCAAAACTTTTTAGAACTTCCTCTGTTGTGTGCCCTAATGAACACAACCCAGGACTGTTTCTCTGCTCTGGGACTGACCACTGTGTGTTTCTCTCACTCAAAGATATGACTCTAACTCTGGAGGAGAAAGGGAGATCCAGAGGACTTTGCTGGAGCTTCTCAACCAGCTGGATGGTTTTGACTCAAGAGGAGACGTGAAGGTGATCATGGCCACCAACAGGATAGAGACTCTGGACCCTGCCCTCATCAGGCCTGGTAAGATGCTCTCAGGAGTATCTGTAAAATTGAGCCTATTTTGATATTTGATATTTAAATGGACCAGTAGAGCTGTACACTTGGACGGATAAAACGACCTCAGTTGAAGTGTATATTGAGGGTCAAGATTCTACTATACAATTAATGCAGATTAATTTCCTCATTCTGAACTCCATCTCTTGACCTTTATTAGTGAACATGGAGCTCTCAAAACTCTTCTACACAACTCAAATCAAAAGCAACAGCATTCACTGAAGCCATTTGAGCAAAGCAGCCTTTATCTCCCCACACTGTTGAGTCCATGTCAATAAGTATTCTATTCTAGAATCAGAATGAGTAGAAACCGAACAGCCATTTTTTTTGTGATGTTCCATGCCCTCCTCACCCCCTGGTTATGTGGTTCTTCCAGGGCGTATTGACAGGAAGATAGAGTTCCCTCTGCCTGATGAGAAGACCAAGAGGAGGATCTTCAACATCCACACCAGCAGGATGACCGTAGCAGACGACGTCACCCTGGACGACCTGATCTTGGCTAAAGATGACCTATCAGGAGCTGACATCAAGGTAATATGGCTGGCCAGGGTTTCCTCTACTACCACCACTGTTAAAGGTGGGGTAGGTGGGCCCCAATCTAGGTAATCGGCGTGTGTGAGGTGATCCGTTTGAACAAGGCGAGATGCAGAATTGCTGATCTTGATCACATAATGAGGAGTTCTTCAGGATGCAAGGTGATTAGTAATTCTGCGCACTCTGACTGTAATGTAGTTGATCTCAAACACACACTATGGCAGTCAAGGGTTTCCACTACCAATACTTAAGTGAGGTAGCCTCCCCAATCAAGCACTGTGCATGCCCAAAAAGTACTGGCCTCTATTGGTTTCAATTGAATGTTGTGTTTTTTTTAGCCCCAAGTGTTGCCTTATGGATGTTTGAAAACCACCTAGGGGAAACAGGACTGTAGAACACATTAGTGCCTCGAGGTACACCAGAGGGGTAGGATGTTTGGAACATAAGTTCCCACTGACTTGACTGTGCTGCCCTCTTGTGGGAGCTCTTTGCTTTTACAATACAGCCTTTGTTCTTCTGTCATTCCTATGTTCCCACTACATTTATTTTACCGTGTTAAATCAGTGATATTTGAAAGAAATGGAGGCAAGAGGATGCAGCTTGAAACTGTCTGAACAGGGCCCTTTTTCTGTAATCTACTGAGACTAACCTGAACCTGTCTTCTCCTCCAGGCCATCTGTACTGAGGCTGGCCTCATGGCCCTTAGAGAGCGCAGGATGAAGGTCACCAACGAGGACTTCAAGAAGTCCAAGGAGAATGTGCTGTACAAGAAGCAGGAGGGCACGCCGGAGGGCCTGTACCTCTAACCTCTGACCTATAACCCCTGACCTGCCTGCGGTGTGAAAGAGAGGAGTCTGGCTGTCTCCTCACAGAACAGAGAGTTTTGATATATTTTGTTGCATGTTACGTTGGACTCAACACTCCCACTGTCTACCTTTTATGTGCTATGATATGACAGACAATAAATACAAGAATTTGAATGTGAGAGAAGTGTTGTTATTCATTGTCCCATATATGATTAGTGTCATTCCCCTCCATGTTCTCTCACTTTAGTAGAGGTAGTGTAGCCAGTTGCTGTAACCGTTTGGTCTGCATTGAAGAAGCCTGGAAATCTAGGCTAGAGTACAAGTAGGTTTACTTGGCATACAGTCTGCATCATACCCACTTGTGGGTGAATTCAATAACTTGTTCATTAACTCCAGTAATAATCTTCATATGTTCATTGAAGTTCACAAACTAAGATGCCTTTTTTTTGCAGCTGAGCCACTGCAGTTCATTTGCCACATGCAGCAGAAAAGCAACATCGATTGAATTCCTCTTGATGTGGGACCATGTGTAACTTTGTACTCAGCACAACACTCTCGCTAGCCCATGCAGCTTCGTTTGGGCTTGAGTGAGAATGTCGCATGCAGCCCTGCTCTCGCTCTCTCTCTCTCTCTCTGGCATCCCCTTATTAAATCAGTCACGCAGTTCAAATGCAACACAGCGCAAACAGTAAAAAAAAAAAAAAGCACACTTCAATCAAGCGTGGCGTGTACAGTAGGACCAGAAAGGGTGCATGGGAGGAGGGAGGGGAGAATTGTAATGAGACATTTGGCCTGCCAAGGATGATATATGTTGAGGATTACGGAGCTGAGCCACACCAGGCCTGCAGGCAGGGGAGACTTGGTTGTGAATGTATAAGCCTAGCCTACATGGTTATAACTACTGGTGGGAATAGAGAGACTGGTTGAGTCTGTTTGGAATATTTCTCTATATCCTCTCTCTCTCTCTGCAGGGTGGAGTCATTGGCAGATATGGAGGTTGACCTTTCAGTGACTTCTCGGTCAACTGAAGAGGTAAAGACATGCTGTATCTGAGGAGATCTCTTCAGTCAGACTGTCATTGTCATCGACTTCTGTTTTGAGGCTGACTTTAAAAAACAAGCGTCATTTCAGGCAGAGACTTCATAGATTATTCAAAGACTAATGTTCTGACAGATTTAGTTGATATGGAACTTGATTTCTCTGTGGCCAGAGGGAGAGGTCATTCTCATCATCCACCACAAGGTGGCGCCTTAAGTGGTCTTTTTATGAAAAGCGCACTGACAACATAGACTGGACATGAGAATTAGGCTGGTCACATTTCTTGGCCAACAAATGTCGCATAAAATCTGCAGAATAAGATACTGTAGCCCAAGTAACTAAAGTAAGCTACTGTAGCCTATGCGCAAATTCTCTAGCCTATGGCAAAACTTTTCGAATAAAATATAGAGAGCAGTGTTACAGCTTTTTCCCCATTAAAGGTGGGGAAACCACCGCAACGATGCTGCTCCATTTTTACATTTCACGTACATTTTTACATTATTTTCTAGTAGGTAGCGTATCATCCAATGGAAAGTATTGTACCTCCCAGCAACGAATCTCAGCAGCACTTGTCTGCCGGGTAGTCATCTCCGCTGTCACAAAATACATACTTACATTTCCAAAGCCTTTAGTAAACCACAATGTAATCTCCATCTATAACAAAATCGACATGATTAAAATGAACCGTTTGGACAAACAATGGGCGTAAATCGCATTTGTTTTAACTTTGTTACATGTATGGGATTTAAATCAAGCGCTACTGGTGCAATGCAGGTCCGACCTAGCCAATACTTGCGGCCAATATATAATATTGCGGGTCTGCTCTAACCAATCAGACGCAGCGTCACATAACGGCATTGCAAATTCTCCAGCGTCAACCAGGTAGCGACTTTATACACTAGGCGTATCCTTCCGCTATGGTAAAATAGTCCAATGTAGAAGTTTTGTGCTAGAAAAGAGACCTAAAAGTTTTGTTTGATTTTATGGCCTTTCGAAATATCATTGATAGTCATAATGTAACTAATGCGAAAAGAACGTCTCAATTATTCCCTGGCACACTTGTTGTTGATGTAGTGTGATGAATTATGGCTTTGCGACAATGTTTTTATTTAACTAGGCAAGTCAGTTAAGAACAAATTCTTATTTACAATGACGGCCTACACCAGCCAAACCCGGACGGGCCAATTGTGCACGGTCCTATGGGACTCCAAATCACGGCCGGTTGTAATACAGCCTGGAATCGAACCAGGGAGTCTATAGTGACGCCTCAGGCACTGAGATGCAGTGCCTTAGACTGCTGCGCCACTCGGGAGCCAATGTTCAGGGTAAATGGAGGTTCCCCTGTCCTTATTCATAAGGGGCATTATTTTGCACAGGTTATAGGGCTAATATGTTGTGTTTAAGGCAAGGTTTGTAAATGGTGCATTAAACTTGAAAGATACATATAGTTTAGAGTTTGCATAACCTATAATAAACAGATAACACACCAATGCCTGTTTCGAATGACCTTGGTGACTTTTATAATGTTGTTGCCGTAGTGTATGCAGAGTTGCACCTGCTATGGCGCAAACCAGCATTGAATTGGGGGGAATGTGCAGTCTGCAACGTGCACAACAGGCCTGCTAGCTACAGTAAACTACAGAAGACGCAGAGCGGTCCTGTGATTGACGTGTCTCCGCCCTGTAGTGGGAGGGACTTAACATAGTCTCTGTAGTTGGAGAAATAAGGAAGGAAGTGAGTGAACAGGCTGGGGTGATGTCTAGATGCCATGCAGCTTTTGTCAAATAGACGTCAAAGGTAGATTTATTTTATTTTATTTTAGCTAACTATTAACCCTTTTCCTAACTTTAACCTAATTATCCTAACCTGGTACGTTCATTCTCCTAACCTGCTGCGTAAGTTATCCTAAACCTGCTACGAAAAGTAAATTTTAACAAAAGCTGTATCCTTTCTAGACACGACCACAGGCTGGGCTAGGTTCGCGGAGGGATACAAAGTCCCCATTCTATACACACCTCCATCCCGCTAGTGGAAACTTCATCTAAAGAACGAGCACACTCGTAGTCTGGTTCATAGATAATCAGCCTAGATCCATCAAACATGGTATGTATTTTGATTCATTTTTATATAATTAGTCAATGCATTCAATGCCACGATATAACGGGAAATGAATGAGGGTATTGGTAAAGCAATGGGGAAATCCGCTATTTTGCCATTAATATATTTACAGCATTTTATCTTACCGGGATTTAAATTAGGACGATCAAAAAGCGTGCTATTTTGCAGCTATTATATCATTGCATGGGATATTTCATCTTTAGTCTCAAGAGGGTGAGTTGATTAGATTTGGAGGAACGTTTTCAGTAGCGATGCAATACACAAGATGGAGCGGGGATTCCGCAATAACTGCGCAATTCTTACGGCATAGTAGCTGGCTCGATATCTATATCTGGGCATGTAACCAATGATAGATACTTCATTGCATGTAGCTAACATGCTGCACAGTGCAGATTTAAATAATTATTAGATTACATTAATAGTATCGGGATAACTAGCAAGTTATACTAGATGATTACAGCATAAATCTGTAGCATAAAAAGTGATTACGTTTCAGAGTCTCTGTGTGTAGGCTGGAATGGAGTAGCGCGCTAGCGAATATGGGGTAGTGCTGCACTAGAGTGACAAGCCCTTGTAGCTATGCTGCTGACATTTCTGACAGATGTCATATATGTCTGATTGATAACCCGTTTTATTAATTGGCGATCGAGTTACATATATCAACTCCTGCATGATATTAAGATTCATCTAATTTTGAGGCAAATTAATATTTTCCGTGACTCGATAGGCCTATTAGCTGCATTTTTCAATGTTGCATCATCGTGCTGTCTGTCTTGCTGCCTAGAGACTATGATGATGATAATTGCAACAATCTATTTATCGCCTGTGATCTGTAACGGAAATCCCCCCCATCTACCTCAAATGGGTGGAATCGGACAAATTGCAACATTTTATATAGTTTGGCCCGCTGGCGTTCTACAGTACAGTAGTTAGAATGTTTCTGCAGCTTCTTCACGCTCCGTTTATCTTAATGTAATGCCGACTGATTTGGTTGTCTTCTGCAAATTCTCAATACAAATGCTATGAGGCTTGTCGTTTAATCGAGTCGCCAAAGTTCTCTGGCAGTCACAGACAGCCCACTGTACAGTAGCCTAGGCAAGAACATCAACAACCGTTCAGTCTTGGGTCTGTTTGGTTTTCATAAATTAAGTCAAATGCAGAATACAGTATTTGATTGATGTTTGATGTCTTCCTTATCAAATCCGTTTGCAGTTACAAAATTATGTTTTATGGGAATTGTTATTATCAGACTAAATCAGCAATGTATTTCAAACTTCACTGTATAACTGTCAAACATCAAAACAGCCCACAATGTTGGAATAGAGTTCATTCAATTCCATATAAAAGCATCTCTCAGTCAAATGTCAGTCCTCATGTAGAAGTGATGCAGCCAGGGTGTGTTGGAGCAGGGAAAAGGCCTCTCCCAGTCAGTATATTGATTATCTATTAATTCTCTGCCCTATGGATCAATAACAGCTCCAGGTCATCTATAAATCTCTTCTAGGCAAATCCCCGCCTTATCTTAGCTCATTGGTCACCATAGCAACACCCACCCCTAGTATGCGTTCCAGCAGGTCATCCCCAAAGCCAACACCTCCTTTGGCCGCCATTCCTTCCAGTTCTCTGCTGCAAATGACTGGAACGAACTGCAAAAATCTATGAAGCTGGAGACACTTATCTCCCTCACTATCTTTAAGCATCAGTTGTCAGAGCAGCTTACTGATCACTGCACCTGTACACAGCCCATCTGTAATTAGCCTACCCAACTACCTCATCCCCATATTGTTATTTACATTGTTATTTATTTTGCTAATTTGCACCCCAGTATCTCTATTTGCACATCATCTTCTGCACATCTATCACTCCAGTGTTAATACTAAATTGTAATTATTTTGCACTATGGCCTATTTATTGCCTTACCTCCATAACTTACTACATTTGCACACACTGTATATAGATTTTCTACGTTTTGTTTATTCCATATGTAACTCTGTGTTGTTGTTGTTTTTATCGCACTGCTTTGCTTTATCTTGGCCAGGTCGCAGTTGTAAATGAGAACTTGTTCTCAACTGCCCTACCTGGTTAAATAAAGGGGAAATAAAAGGAGAAGTCAAGACATGAACCACATTTTTCTCTGTGCGATCAAATATCCCATATATGGTATTGAATCACGGCATGCAGTCGGTTTCATGTTGCATACCACTGTAGTAATTAGAGTATAAATTGCGTTTTTGAAAAGTTTAACCTGTGCCCAAAACTCTGTGTAGGCCTACCATACACTCCAACACAATACAGCTATTGAAGTGGAAACAGTGTGTCTCTATTGAGATGGAAGTATAATGTAAGTAGCCCGAGCGTAAACGGACCTATCCGGTTCCTGTTCCGGCCTTGTTTGCTGGTGCATGTGGAGTAACTTAGAGGACATTTGATCCAGTGCATTGAATCATATATTTGCTTGGCAGATGGCCCCATCCTGGCCTGGGCGGGTCAGCCTGTAAACTGCTATCAGGGTTGTGTTCATTAGGCACCAAACTGACTGAAACAGAGAGGGACTCCAATTATAAGATATGCTCTTTTTTATTTTTCCATTGCAAAAAGTTTTTTCCTTGCGTGCCCAAATGAACACAACCCAGTTGTGAACTAAACTCAAACCACCACTCAGGTCAATATGGTGTCCTGGTCCTATCCTGGAGGCGGTAGTTAGCTAGCTACTGGTGCTGCTGGTTAATGCATTATAAGCTGAAAAGCCTCCCAGTACAAAAGTGTGTGTGTGTATAGTATGTCCCCGGGGACTATGGGTTTCCTTTGTTATGAGTCATATTAATATGTTGTAGGGGAAGCAGGTCCTTTGAAAGAGGCCTGTTGGTTTGCATAGTCCATATATGGTGCCTCGCTGACACTACCTACACTCGGGTGGGGTTGTTGTTCTGTGTTGTGTAAATTCATCAGTGCTTTGCTGCCTACCAGCAGATTGCTACACCCACCCAGCCCCTGTTGCCTTCCCGCTAGACCGGCCAAAAGAGAGAGGGAGAGAGGGAGCCCCAGAGAGGAAAGGCCTGTAGTAGGAGTGTGGGCCTCGTTCCAGGCAGACCCAGCCAGGCCAAGGGAAAGGAAAGGAAGGGAAGGGCTGGAGAAGGCCTGGTCGCGCAGCAGCACTGTGAGGCCCAGTCATGGAAAGGCAAGGGAAGGGATGGGCCGGTGTAGGCCTGGTCGTGCAGCAGCACAGTGAGGCCCAACTGTCTGGGAAACCGCCATCTCTGCCACGGAACCCACCCAACCCCCAGCGTTGAGAGAGAGAGGTTGAGAGAGAGAGAGGTTGAGAGAGAGAGTTGATAGAGAGGAGAAGAGAGAGAGAAGATCTATATCTATCGAGGAGAGAGGCGAGGAGCCAGAAGATAGAAGAACAGAGAGAAAGAAGACCCTATCTATCTCTCGTCTATCTCTCTCGATCTCCTCCTCTCTCTCCCTTCGCTCTCTCGCTCTCTCTCTCTCGTCTCTCTCTCTCTCTCTCTCTCTCGCCTCTCCTCTCTCCTCCCCTCTCCTCTCGCTCTCCTCTCTCTCTCTCGAGAGAGAGAACCAGTTGAAGAAAAGCCACAGCCAATGTTCATTAACCCCAACCCTTCAGAGTAAAATCATTCATCTCTGACATTTCACAAACTTGGCAGATGGAGAGAATGAGGGAGACAGGAAGAAGGAGGAGAGTAAAGCAAAGGCTATTGTCCTCCATTTTATTGAATCACGTAATGTAATTTAGCCTGGTGAACTTATCCACTATGTGGACGTATTGACCTGAGCCAGTGATGCAGCGTCAGAGCCATGTAGAGAGTATTTTGCTATCAGCCTAAGTTAAAGAGCATCTCCAAAACAAAATAATGTAATTTGAGGTCTAGGACTTAAGCTTAATCCCCCCTCTCCATTGCTCTGTGTGATCTATCAGAACCCACAGACCTTATCACTAGGAAAGGAAACTTCACCCCCCCCCCACACACACACACAGTATGCCTACGGTACAAGGAGGGGTCTTTGGTGTGTGTCATGGCATCACGTGACCATTCATATCGTTGACTGAGGCAGGTCTATGTTTAGTGTTCTCAAAACCCAGATATTGAATAAACCCAGATCTATCTATAAAGCCTAGATACATACTGTGTGCTGTAGGATATTTGTTCTGCTTTGGGACAGAACTGGTTGCTATGTTGTGTCACTAATTCACAGGAAACCTGGCGATGGAAACTATTGACATAGAGGGAAATGTCACTTAGAGTGTGTGTGTGTGTCCTGTTTTTCCCCCTGCCAGCAGCAGGCACTCAGTTACGTCAGTGGTTTGTTTGCTGTAATCATAAGCATGTTTTCCCAATCTGGGTGGGTACCTACAGGATTGTCCATTCACTCACACACACACACACACACACACACACCCCACCAACAGGCTTTACAGGCTTTTGTAAGACCTACGCTGCTGCTGCCATTGTGTGAATGTTTGTTTGAAAGCTGAGGCCCTGTGTGCGTCTAAACTCCAAAGACTTCATCCATCTGTGGGTCTCTACTATAAAGGAGTGTTGCCAAGTCATTACACACACACTCATTAAAGCTCCCCTGACTCACCTATTAAATAGGACTAACAGAGAACATACTGGGAGGTAGTCAGGAAGACCAAACCAACTGAACACACCTCTACAGCCATTTTAGCTCTTTCAGGTTACAGCAGGCCAGGGCCAAGTTTAGAAAGCATGAAATAGGACGAAACACAGGTAGTAGGTTCTACCTGGGTAATGTTCAGAAGGGAGGAAATGTTACGTACTACCTGAGCTTGGTCAATAAGAACACTATTTTTCTGTTTCAAAAACATGTTTTTGTGTCCACTGACTGAACACAATCCAGGCTAGTCTCTGGACGAAGGTAGTCTCTGGACCAAGGTAGTCTCTGTCTGGACCAAGGTAGTCTCTGGACCAAGGTAGTCTCTGTCTGGACCAAGGTAGGGTCTGTTTGGACCAAGGTAGTCTCTGGACCAAGGTAGTCTCTGTCTGGACCAAGGTAGGGTCTGTCTGGACCAAGGTAGTCTCTGTCTGGTCCAAGGAAGTCTCTGTCTGGACCAAGGTAGTCTCTGTCTGGACCAAGGTAGTCTCTGTCTGGACCAAGGTAGTATCTGGACCAAGGTAGTCTCTGTCTGGACCAAGGTAGTCTCTGTCTGGACCAAGGTAGGGTCTGTTTGGACCAAGGTAGTCTCTGGACCAAGATAGTCTCTGTCTGGACCAAGGTAGTCTCTGTCTGGTCCAAGGAAGTCTCTGTCTGGACCAAGGTAGTCTCTGTCTGGACCAAGGTAGTCTCTGTCTGGACCAAGGTAGTCTCTGTCTGGACCAAGGTAGGGTCTGTTTGGACCAAGGTAGGGTCTGTCTGGACCAAGGTAGTCTCTGTCTGGACCAAGGTAGGGTCTGTCTGGACCAAGGTAGTCTCTGTCTGGACCAAGGTAGTCTCTGTCTGGACCAAGGTAGGGTCTGTTTGGACCAAGGTAGGGTCTGTCTGGACCAAGGTAGTCTCTGTCTGGACCAAGGTAGGGTCTGTTTGGACCAAGGTAGTCTCTGTCTGGACCAAGGTTGCCTCTGGACCAAGGTTGCCTCTGGACCAAGGTTGCCTCTGTCCGGACCAAGGTAGTCTGGACCAAGGTAGTCTCTGTCCGGACCAAGGTAGTCTCTGGACTAAGATGGGGGATATTCCGGTTCCCCATCCAAGTCACTGGTCTGTTGAGGTCTGTAGAGGTCCCTGGTCTGAGCAACGAACAGTGTCCTCACTGTGGGGTGTTTGGACATCATTGAGGCAGGTGACAGCCAGGAGAACATGGTTAAGTAGTTTGGTATTTAGTGATTGAGTAACTGACTGACTGATGTTCGTTCTCTCTCCCTATTTTTCCTCAGGCCGATCAGCTAACAGAGGAACAGATTGCAGGTAGGAACGACTGAGTAATTACTCTAGCATGCTTTTAACACGTCTGACTCACTAATGAACGACACACGCACAAATATACACGTCCACACGCACAAATATACACGTCCATACGCACACACTCACATATACAGTGAGCTCCAAAAGTATTGGGACAGTGACACATTTGTTGTTGTTTTGGCTCTGTACTCCAGCACTTTGGATTTGAAATGATACAATGACTATGAGGTTAAAGTGCAGACTGTCAGCTTCAATTTGAGGGTATTTTCATCCATATCGGGTGAACCGTTTAGAAATTTCAGCACTTCTTGTACATAGTTCCCCCATTTTAGGGGACCAAAATTATTGGGACAAATTCACTTAAATGTGTAGTAAAACTTTAGTATTTGGTCCCATATTCATAGCACGCAATGCTATGCCCAAGAGGGCCTGACTGAGCCTGTGACCCACCCACCAGTAGGAAACACTGACTTAACCATAGAGACGTAACACCGTCTTGCATTCTCCTCCTCACAGAGTTCAAAGAGGCGTTCTCCTTATTTGACAAGGATGGCGACGGCACAATCACGACCAAAGAGCTGGGCACCGTGATGAGGTCGCTGGGACAGAACCCCACAGAGGCTGAGCTGCAGGACATGATCAATGAAGTTGACGCAGACGGTGAGTGGTGAAATAAACACACCTGATAGGTCAAAAAAACAGGAAACAGGAAGATTATAGACACAGGATCTAAACGTATCTGGTTATGTCCTCTGGATGCTGAAGTACATATTCTTTTTAGGAACGTGCCATTAGTCGTTTACTCACTCTGCCTGTTCTGAGTCACACTCGGTTGACAGTATCTTATGATGACCTCACTGTTACCTGCCTAAAGGGCTTCTGGAGTGTAACAGCTCGCTTTCCTAGTGTTGCAGTGTCAGCTTTACCAACAAGAGTAAGGCCTGTCAATGTGGTGAGTGACAGCTCTTCAAGAAGCCTGTCCCAACCCATCAGCTTATCAACACATCTCACTCCTGCCTACATAGTTATGGCTGAATCAACAGCGACTCATAAATGGCACCCTATTCCTTTTCTAGTGCACTACTTTTGAGCAGGGCCCATAGGGGGGTGCCATTTGGGACGCACTTTGAGTGATTGAGAATGAGGGTGTTCATGGTGGAAGTTGGTCAGCAGCGTCTTTGACTCTTAATGATGTTGGAAATGGAACCTGTCAGTCGTCTAGGTGGCCGGTCAGGCCTCTGAAACCGCGGTGATGCCCTGTCAGCTTCTAGGGTTTTGGTAAATGGGGCCATATCGATCGGACCGCCATATTGATCAATCTCACCGTGGCTTGGCTCACTGTATCTATCCAAAGTTCTCCCTTCTCGCTCTGTTCTCTCTCTCTGTTCGCTCCTGTTCTGTACATCATTCTCTCTCTTGCTGATGCAGTCTGATGAAGGTAATACTACAAATAAAAGGGCTTACATAACCTCTGCTCTGCTCTACGTTTCGCTTCGTACATTCAGTATCTCTTATCTCTCCTCCCCTAAACTCTCCTCCCCACCCCTCCCCCCTCTCCTCTTTGTACATCCAGTAGCCTCATAGTGATGTCAACAGCAGGGCCACAGATTCTCCCTCTCCTCTCCTCTCCCTCTCCTCTCCCCTCTCGTCTTTGTACATCCAGAAGCCTCATAGTGATGTCAACAGCAGGGCCATAGATTCTTTACCAAACAAGCAGAGTGGATGACAGAGGAAGTAGAGAATGAGGTTAGCTTTACCTCCGAGAGCTGTGCTGTTGGTCTCTGTGAGAGGAGAGGCTTTACCTCAGAGAGCTGTGCTGTTGGTCTCTGTGAGAGGAGAGGCTTTACCTCAGAGAGCTGTGCTGTTGGTCTCTGTGAGAGGAGAGTCTTTATCTCCGAGAGCTGTGCTGTTGGTCTCTGTGAGAGGAGAGGCTTTACCTCCGAGAGCTGTGCTGTTGGTGTCTGAGAGGAGAGGCTTTACCTCAGAGAGCTGTGCTGTTGGTCTCTGTGAGAGGAGAGGCTTTACCTCAGAGAGCTGTGCTGTTGGTCTCTGTGAGAGGAGAGGCTTTACCTCAGAGAGCTGTGCTGTTGGTCTCTGTGAGAGGAGAGGCTTTACCTCAGAGAGCTGTGCTGTTGGTCTCTGTGAGAGGAGAGGCTTTACCTCCGAGAGCTGTGCTGTTGGTCTCTGTGAGAGGAGAGGCTTTACCTCAGAGAGCTGTGCTGTTGGTCTCTGTGAGAGGAGAGGCTTTACCTCAGAGAGCTGTGCTGTTGGTCTCTGTGAGAGGAGAGGCTTTACCTCAGAGAGCTGTGCTGTTGGTCTCTGTGAGAGGAGAGGCTTTACCTCAGAGAGCTGTGCTGTTGGTCTCTGTGAGAGGAGAGGCTTTACCTCCGAGAGCTGTGCTGTTGGTGTCTGAGAGGAGAGGCTTTACCTCAGAGAGCTGTGCTGTTGGTCTCTGTGAGAGGAGAGGCTTTACCTCAGAGAGCTGTGCTGTTGGTCTCTGTGAGAGGAGAGGCTTTACCTCAGAGAGCTGTGCTGTTGGTCTCTGTGAGAGGAGAGGCTTTACCTCAGAGAGCTGTGCTGTTGGTCTCTGTGAGAGGAGAGAGGGAGAGGCTCTGAAGTAGTGTTTGTGGTTCCCTGTCATAGCTTTTTTTCTCGCTGTTGACGCCCTCCACCCCGTGTGAAAAATATTTGAATTTATTGGTTTCAACAGAAAGTTTTGCAGCCCTGGATGTTTTCTTAGGGGCCTTTCCGCCTTGCCTAGGAAAAGCTATGAGGGAATACTAGCCTGTGGAATGAATGTCATCATCAGTAGAATGAGTCTGCTTCCTGTAGTTTGCGTCAGCAGTGCCTCCTTATATAGCCTATATGATCACACCATCTCACACTCATTCCCTCGCTCCATCTTTCTCCCACCCACTCCATCTCCCCCTCTCGTACGTCACAGGCAGAGTCAAACCCAAGAGTCAGTCAGCCAGCTCTCCATCACTCCAGACCTCCTCTTCCAGTGGTGCTTTTCCTGCCTTGCTACCTAGTGTCTAAACACACATATGCACTCACACACCTAGTTGACAGAGTGAGAGTGTGTGTGTGTGTCCCTGTGTGGCTCTGTCTGTGTCTCTGGGTGTTAGTTAACAGGTCATTAGATAGCCCCTGGCCATTAGATCACCATCTTCCCCATCATCCCACATCCCACTGCCGACACCAACGTACTGTATGTCCAGCCAAAGAAGTATAAGTCTACCCATCACCTTCCCATTGTTCTAGAAATTCTATTTTTATGTGCATCCATCCATCCTCCACCACCCATGAGCCCACACATCTTTAGAGGCAGCTGAGGTCTAAATAAACAGGTTTGATTCTGGTTAGAGGTTATGTCAGGGATCCCACTGCTGCCCCTAATATACATCCATCCACCAGACATAAGCCCACACATCCTGTGACCCCTGACTGGGAGGCCTGGGGCCTGGTTAGAGAAAAGGGAGAAGGATGGGTGCTGGTTAGACACCCCCCCCCCCCCCCCCCCCCGATAACGATTTGGTTTGATTAGAGAACAAATCGATTTGATGCTCTCACATTTGTTGCATAAACACATTCATTTTCCATTCTAAATTCAAATCTGCTGCTGATGAGCTGGGCTTCTGAGCTTGTGTGTGTTTGTGTTTTTGTAAATTACAAATCAACTATGACATAGCCAATGCATATACAGTGGGGGAAAAAAAGTATTTAGTCAGCCACCAATTGTGCAAGTTCTCCCACTTAAAAAGATGAGAGAGGCCTGTAATTTTCATCATAGGAACACATCAACTATGACAGACAAATTGAGAAAAAAAATCACATTGTAGGATTTTTTATGAATTTATTTGCAAATTATGGTGGAAAATAAGTATTTGGTCACCTACAAACAAGCAAGATTTCTGGCTCTCACAGACCTGTAACTTCTTCTTTAAGAGGCTCCTCTGTCCTCCACTCGTTACCTGTATTAATGGCACCTGTTTGAACTTGTTATCAGTATAAAAGACACCTGTCCACAACCTCAAACAGTCACACTCCAAACTCCACTATGGCCAAGTCCAAAGAGCTGTCAAAGGACACCTGCACCAGGCTGGGAAGACTGAATCTGCAATAGGTAAGCAGCTTGGTTTGAAGAAATCAACTGTGGGAGCAATTATTAGGAAATGGAAGACATACAAGACCACTGATAATCTCCCTCGATCTGGGGCTCCACGCAAGATCTCACCCCGTGGGGTCAAAATGATCACAAGAACGGTGAGCAAAAATCCCAGAACCACACGGGGGGACCTAGTGAATGACCTGCAGAGAGCTGGGACCAAAGTAACAAAGCCTACCATCAGTAACACACTACGCCGCCAGGGACTCAAATCCTGCAGTGCCAGACGTGTCCCCCTGCTTAAGCCAGTACATGTCCAGGCCCGTCTGAAGTTTGCTAGAGTGCATTTGGATGATCCAGAAGAGGATTGGGAGAATGTCATATGGTCAGATGAAACCAAAATATAACTTTTTGGAGGACAAAGAATGGTGAGTTGCATCCAAAGAACACCATACCTACTGTGAAGCATGGGGGTGGAAACATCATGCTTTGGGGCTGTTTTTCTGCAAAGGGACCAGGACGACTGATCCGTGTAAAGGAAAGAATGAATGGGGCCATGTATCGTGAGATTTTGAGTGAAAACCTCCTTCCATCAGCAAGGGCATTGAAGATGAAACGTGGCTGGGTCTTTCAGCATGACAATGATCCCAAACTCACCGCCCGGGCAACGAAGGAGTGGCTTCGTAAGAAGCATTTCAAGGTCCTGGAGTGGCCTAGCCAGTCTCCAGATCTCAACCCCATAGAAAATCTTTGGAGGGAGTTGAAAGTCTGTGATTCCCAGAGACAGCCCCAAAACATCACTGCTCTAGAGGAGATCTGCATGGAGGAATGGGCCAAAATACCAGCAACAGTGTGTGAAAACCTTGTGAAGACTTACAGAAAACGTTTGACCTGTGTGATTGCCAACAAAGGGTATATAACAAAGTATTGAGAAACTTTTGTTATTGACCAAATACTTATTTTCCACCATAATTTGCAAATAAATTCATTAAAAATCCTACAATGTGATTTTCTGGAGAAAAAAAATCTCATTTTGTCTGTCATAGTTGACGTGTACCTATGATGAACATTACAGGCCTCTCTCATCTTTTTAAGTGGGAGAACTTGCACAATTGGTGGCTGACTAAATACTTTTTTTCCCCACTGTATAGCACAATGTTTCATTTCACCCCCATCTCAAAATGGAATGGTTTTGACAGTTTGGATGTTTTTAGAGAGCTTATTTTCTCATTCTGCTTCGGCCATGCAGAGCACCTCGCAAAAGTGATTCCTCGTTATGAAATGATCAACTTTACCCTGTATATCTGTAAATGACCATATACTGTACACTGACTGTTTTTAAAGCAAAACTACCAAAACTATTGCTGATGGTGAACCTTAACAATTCAAATAAAATCTATTGTAAGGCCCATTCAACAGGTATCGCCAGATGAGTTGTCTCCGGTAGCTTACTTTTATTCCGGTAAAACACTATTTTCAACAGCGCATAGATAACAATAACCTAGCAAATTACATAGGTTGTCACTCAATTAATAAAGCCTAATATCGCACAAGCCATTTTAGCATTTGAATGCTGAAGGTGCAAGATCAGGAACAGGCCTCCTACCTCGCGTTGGTCAGCGCGCGAAGCTGGGCACAGTGTGCAGTTTGACTAGGCTACTGATATTCCCTGGGGTTGTTCGGCATGCAAAATCACTTGTAGGTCAATGACTGTCAACACAGTTACATGCTTAGTTCCACACTGAAGGAGAGGACGCATCAGTTGTCACAAAAGATTAGGTATTTTCGTAAAGGTAGCAAAAAAGTGATATGAGCCCCCAAAATGTGAATCAATCGATTTTCTGACCGATGCATGCTACGTTTGGATCGGTTTGGGCCAGACCGATGCATTCCTATCTTAATGGGATACTTCCGTATTTGGGCAATAAGGCCCTTTAGCATGCTAGTAGATACCCATAGACTTCCAGTCATTGCTCTAACGCTAGTTAGCGTTGGCTCGCGAAACGAACTCTAACTTCCTTTATACTGGACACAACGCAGTGAATAACTTAAAGAGACTTAAAAATGACTCTGTGGAGGTAGATAAAGGGCCTCATTACCAATACCCAGAAGTATCCCTTTAAACATTTGAATCAGGGACTGATGAGTATAAGTGAATCGTTACATCCTTAATTATCATCATAGGAAAATTCTAGCTAGGCAACCAAGCATTTGTCTTTATTTACACAGAGTTTTTCTAAATCATTCGATTTTCTGCATAGTCTTTCTTCATTTATACAGTTTTTCTAATCAACAGCAGATGTACAGGTAACTGACAAAATGGAAACACTTGAGTAAATGAGGGATACAAAGTATATTATAAGCAGGTGCTTCCACACAGGTGTGATTCCTGAGTTAATTAAGCAATTAACATCCCATCATGCTTAGGGTCATGTATAAAAATGCTGGGCAGGCCATTATGTTGGCCATTATTTGGCTACCATGGCTATGCCCCCATAGGATGACAATGCCCCCATCCACAGGGCACGAGTGGTCACTGAATGGTTTTATGAGCTTGAAAACGATGTAAACCATATGCCATGGCCGTCTCAGTCACCAGATCTCAACCCAATTGAACACTTATGGCGAGGTGCCTGAGACAGGGTTTTCCACAATCATCAACAAAACACCAAATGATGGAATTTCTTGTGGAAGAATGGTGTTGCATCCCTCCAATAGAGTTCCAGACACTTGTAGAATCTATGCCAAGGTGCATTGAAGCTGTTCTGGCTCGTGGTCGCCCAACGCCCTATTAAGAGACTTTGTTTCCTTTTTTCTGGCAGTTACCTGTATGTTCTACTTTTATCTCTATCTTATTCTTGTATTGCACTCTGCACCTTTAACTGAATGTGGTAGTTCTATCTCCAATCCAGGCAACGGCACCATTGACTTCCCAGAGTTCCTGACCATGATGGCCAGAAAAATGAAGGACACAGACAGCGAGGAGGAGATCCGTGAAGCCTTTAGGGTATTCGACAAGGTAAGGTACTACATGTACTCAGCTGCGATTTTATCATGTCAATCTTGGTGGGGCAAACCCCCCCCCCAAAAAAAAAGTTTTGCTATGCATGCCAGCAAAGCCACTACACAACACAACACTAAACAATACATTAATTGGACTATAATGGTGACAAACAGTGCCCACAAACAGTTAGGGCCTACATAAAGCTGTCCCAACAACAGTCCCAACATCTTACCACTGCTACACCTGGCTATCAGCAGAGCCTTGTCTGGTAGCGAAACAGTTAATTCAGCCTCATTTACTGCCTTAAAAAAAAAAAACTGTTGATATGGCTGACTTGCTTAAACAAATGTGGTTTCTACTGACAATTGAGATGTACAAACTATGGCATAAGGGGACGACGAGCGGATAAGAGGCAATATAACTATTTGTTCAGCACTTTTGAAATGTACAGCAACAGAATTCAGAACATGGGCCGTTCTTACAGTAGTCTCCCTGTACACCAAGTCAGAATCGTACGATAAATAAAGGGGGTATATAAGCAGACAATGAAAGCTCTTACAATATTTGATGATGACATTTCTCTAAAACAGGCTATAGGATACATGTGCACCACCAAGTCAGAACAGTAAGCTAAATTATGAGGGGAAAAGGGACCAAATTATTAGAATGAGGCACATGGGCTACTAACGGCTTACTACACAACATACACTTAGTATTACTTTTTAGCTACAGTATACATATCTCCCTGGCATATTACATCATTTATGCAGCAGCATACAATACATCTTTGGACTCACCTTGTTGTGCTGTGCTCACTTGAACAGGAAGGTGGTGCGGCGGTCCTTGGTGGGCAAATTTTGTCATCACTTGGTCATCAAAGTCTGCCATTCTCTGGATTGATGGTGCTTTCAAGACAACTGGGAACTGAAAAAAACAAGGACGAATCATGACATTAGTGATCTTCAGGTCGGAGCTCTAGAAAGAGGCCCGGGTTCCCGACTTAGAATTCCGAGTTGGATGACCATTCAAAACTTATTTTGCCAGTCGGAGCTCGTTTTTATCCGAGTTCCCAGTTGTCTTGAACTCACTGAAGTCTGAGATTTCCGATTTTCCAGTTGGTTTGAAAGCGGCAGAAGTCATGCTGGATTGACAGCATGGCCAATGTTGAATGTTTATACCTTTTTAAGCTTTGAAAAGAGCCCCTTATACCCAGATTTGGACCACACATCAACTCCACTGAATAGCAGGCTAGTGGTTGCGTTTCAATGCTTGCAGTTAGCCACTGATTCCTTCCAAACCACTCTTTGTTGAATTTGCAATTTCCAACATGTTTATGTCCAATGACCGATGAGCACCGATACATTTTATCTATACTTTCTCTTCATAATTTCTCTTAATATTACAAGGATTGAAAAGGATTTGCCAGTATATTGTCGACTTGATTCATGATGATGACTGCTAGCTAAGATTTTGAAAGTATGATGTTGACATGATCAGTCCAATCAAAGCTACTGTAGGTATAACGTGATTTTATGTCATTTTATCTGTGGCCAATGACCTTGAGGCTTCTTGGATGGGCACTTCTAATGTAACTCTATGGCAGCACCCAAGGGTCTTGAATTTTTCGAGCTCTCCCCGTAGATTTTGCGGTGACGTGTTGTCCCCATGAGTGACAGAACACTGAGCCAATCACGGCGCAACTAGAGAACATTACCAACCGTTACGCTCCGTATTTTCAGTTGGCTGCCCCACCACCACAGAAAGCACTGAGCTAGGTTGAAACACCTGCATTTTGGAGCTGCCTTACTCAAGAAAGCAAAAGAGAGACCATGTTTGTATGCGGCTTTATTAACTCAATGATTTATAAATGTTTGTACATTGTTTGCAGACTGATATGTGACATGTATTAATGCCAAAATAACATGCAAAAAGGGTGGGGCTCAAAACATTTGGGGCTCCTCCCCACCTGTCCTGAATGACGGGACGCCAAAGCATGTACTACCTTGGAGAGTAGAGACTATTATCCTCATAGGACAATTTTGCTTCGTTATAAACTAGTAAACAGTCAACTTTCATAAGATGTACCCACCTTTTGATAAACACGTCGTCAAACTCTTCCTGTTATGGTGATGCTATATATATCATTAACCGTCCAATGGGATTTGATTCTCCACTCATCATTACCCAATGGGGATTTGCCTCGGTTATATCCTGATTGCTCACCGAATGGGAATGCCTTTCCATCTATTCTCACCCAATGGGATTCCTTCTCTCCTGTGTCTCCAGGACGGAAACGGCTACATCAGCGCCGCAGAGCTCCGCCACGTCATGACAAACCTGGGGGAGAAGTTAACAGACGAGGAGGTAGACGAGATGATCAGAGAAGCAGACATTGATGGAGACGGACAGGTCAATTATGAAGGTAAGAGGACAGATCTTGCCCTGTATGATTAACCTGCCACATGTAGCAGTGGTTATTAGTGGTTATTAGATGGGAGGGAGGGAGGAGACAGACAGACAGACAGACAGACAGACAGACAGACAGACAATGAAGGTAAGAGGGCAGAGTGGGGTAAGTTCAGCCACCCTTGTTTCTAGAAAACCATACATAAAGTTAATCATTTGACCAAATATTTAGGAAGAGGTCATCATTTCATGGAGTCTGAGAAGGGAAGAAACCATGGTAACACTTTACTTGACACCCAGTGTCATAACCATGTCATAATACACTAAATATACAAATGTATGTGGACACCCCTTAAAATTAGTGGATTTGGCTAGTTTAGCCACACCCGTTGCTGACAGGTGTATAAAATCGAGCACACAGCCATGCAATCTCCATAGTCAAACATTGGCAGTAGAATGGCCTTACTGAAGAGCTCAGTGACTTTCAATGTGGCACCGTCCTAGGATGCCACCTTTCCAACAAGTCAGTTCATCAAGTTTCTGCCCTGCTAGAGCTGCCCCGGTCAACTGTAAGTGCTGTTATTGTGAAGTGGAAACATCTAGGAGCAACAATGGCTCAGCCGCGAAGTGGTAGGCCACACAAGCTCACAGAACGGGACCGCCGAGTGCTGTAGAGCGTAAAAAATTGTCTGTCCTCAGTTGCAACACTCACTACCGAATTCCAAACTGCACAAGAACTGTTCGTCGTGAGCTTCATGAAATGGGTTTCCATGGCAGAGTAGCCGCACACAAGCCTAAGATCACCATGCGCAATGCGAAGCGTCGGCTGGAGTGGTGTATAGCTCGCCGACATTGGACTGTGGAGACGTGGAAACGCGTTCTCTGGAGGGATGAATCCGACGGACAAATCTGAGTTTGGCAGATTCCAGGAGAACGCTACCTGCCCCAATGCAAAACTGGGTTTGGCGGATGCCAGGAGAACGCTACCTGCCCCAATGCATAGTGACAACTGTAAAGTTTGGAGGAGGAGGAATAATGGTCTGTGGCTGTTTTTCATGGTTCGGGCTCCTTAATTCCAGTGAAGGGAAATCTTAATGCTACAGCATACAATGTTACATACAACATTCTAGACGATTCTGTGCTTCCAACTTTGTGGCAACAGTTTGGGGAAGGCCCTTTCCTGTTTCAGCATGACAATGCCTTCATGCACAAACCATACAGAAATGGTTTGTCGAGATCGGTGTGGAAGAACTTGACTGGCCTGCGCAGAGCCCTGACCTCCACCCTATCGAACACCTTTGGGATGAATTGGAACGCAGACTACGAGCCAGGCCTAATCGCCCAACCTCACTAATGCTCTTGTGGCTGAACGGAAGCAAGTCCCTGCAGCAATGTTCCAACATCTAGTGGAAAGCCTTCCTAGAAGAGTGGAGGCTGTTATAGCAGCAAAGGGGGGACCAACTCCATATTAATGCCCATGATTTTGGAATGAGACATTCGACAAGCAGGTGTCCACATACTTTTGGTCATGTAGTGTATGAAATAATACCTGACATAACCTATCATAATATGGTCATTAACACTGTCATGACCCATATTTACACCTGTTGTGACATACACTACCGTTCAAAAGTTTGGGGTCACTTAGAAATGTCCTTGTTTTCGAAAGAAAATCAATTTTTTTGTCCATTAAAATAACATCAAATTGATCAGAAATACAGTGTAGACATTGTTAATGTTGTAAATGGCTATTGTAGCTGGAAACGGCAGATTTTTTTATGGAATATCTACATAGGCGTACAGAGGCCCATTATCAGCTATTCCATGCAAGAAATTGCCAAGAAACTGAAGATCTCGTACAACGCTGTGTACTACTCCCTTCACAGAACAGCGCAAACTGGCTCTAACCAGAATAGAAAGAGGAGTGGGAGGCCCCGGTGCACAACTGAGCAAGAGGACAAATACAGTGGGGAAAAAAAGTATTTAGTCAGCCACCAATTGTGCAAGTTCTCACACTTAAAAAGATTAGAAGAGGCCTGTAATTTTCATCATAGGTACACGTCAACTATGACAGACAAATTGAGGGAAAAAAATCCAGAAAATCACATTGTAGGATTTTTTAATGAATTTATTTGCAAATTATGGTGGAAAATAAGTATTTGGTCACCTACAAACAAGCAAGATTTCTGGCTCTCACAGACCTGTAACTTCTTCTTTAAGAGGCTCCTCTGTCCTCCACTCGTTACCTGTATTAATGGCACCTGTTTGAACTTGTTATCAGTATAAAAGACACCTGTCCACAACCTCAAACAGTCACACTCCAAACTCCACTATGGCCAAGACCAAAGAGCTGTCAAAGGACACCAGAAACAAAATTGTAGACCTGCACCAGGCTGGGAAGACTGAATCTGCAATAGGTAAGCAGCTTGGTTTGAAGAAATCAACTGTGGGAGCAATTATTAGGAAATGGAAGACATACAAGACCACTGATAATCTCCCTCGATCTGGGGCTCCACGCAAGATCTCACCCCGTGGGGTCATAATGATCACAAGAACGGTCAGCAAAAATCCCAGAACCACACGGGGGGACCTAGTGAATGACCTGCAGAGAGCTGGGACCAAAGTAACAAAGCCTACCATCAGTAACACACTACGCCGCCAGGGACTCAAATCCTGCAGTGCCAGACGTGTCCCCCTGCTTAAGCCAGTACATGTCCAGGCCCGTCTGAAGTTTGCTAGAGTGCATTTGGATGATCCAGAAGAGGATTGGGAGAATGTCATATGGTCAGATGAAACCAAAATAGAACTTTTTGGTAAAAACTCAACTCGTCGTGTTTGGAGGACAAAGAATGCTGAGTTGCATCCAAAGAACACCATACCTACTGTGAAGCATGGGGGTGGAAACATCATGCTTTGGGGCTGTTTTTCTGCAAAGGGACCAGGACGACTGATCCGTGTAAAGGAAAGAATGAATGGGGCCATGTATGATGAGATTTTGAGTGAAAACCTCCTTCATTCAGCAAGGGCATTGAAGATGAAACGTGGCTGGGTCTTTCAGCATGACAATGATCCCAAACACACCGCCCGGGCAACGAAGGAGTGGCTTCGTAAGAAGCATTTCAAGGTCCTGGAGTGGCCTAGCCAGTCTCCAGATCTCAACCCCATAGAAAATCTTTGGAGGGAGTTGAAAGTCTGTGTTGCCCAGCGACAGCCCCAAAACATCACTGCTCTAGAGGAGATCTGCATGGAGGAATGGGCCAAAATACCAGCAACAGTGTGTGAAAACCTTGTGAAGACTTACAGAAAACGTTTGACCTGTGTCATTGCCAACAAAGGGTATATAACAAAGTATTGAGAAACTTTTGTTATTGACCAAATACTTATTTTCCACCATAATTTGCAAATAAATTCATTAAAAATCCTACAATGTGATTTTCTGGATTTTTTTTCTCTCAATTTGTCTGTCATAGTTGACGTGTACCTATGATGAAAATTACAGGCCTCTCTCATCTTTTTAAGTTGCACAACTTGCACAATTGGTGGCTGACTAAATACTTTTTTCCCCCACTGTACATTAGAGTGTCTAGTTTGAGAAACAGACGCCTCACAGGTCCTCAACTGGCAGCTTCATTAAATAGTACCCACAAAACACCAGTCTCAACGTCAACAGAGAAGAGGCAACTCCGGGATGCTGACCTTCTAGGCAGAGTTGCAAAGAAAAAGACATATCTCAGACTGGCCAATAAAAAGAAAAGATTAAGATGGGCAGTCTGAGATATGGCTTTTTCGGGTGTCAATTAAAGTGTTACCGAAACCACATTGAAAAAGTGGTAAGCAAGTTAGGTCCAAAAAACAGATTTTCACCATGTCAAATTAATTTGTATCTAAACCAAAGTAGATAATTTTAAGATTGTTCAATACATCAGTTGGGGTCACTATAAGCTTCAATATGAGGTCCTAAACCTAGCATGAAAGTGCATCCTTGTAGCTGTGTGGGTTAATATAGTCAGAATGTTTGCCTTGGGGTAAGTTCAGCCAATGGCAAGTTGAGCAAATTAAAGCGTTTTCTTTTCAGGCGTAATGTAAGTCATTATCGCTGGGATATGAGGTAACAACACTGCCTATGTAAATAATGTTTTTTTGAAGGTACAAAGTGTTTGTTAGGTGTTAAAATGATTAAAAGGCAAAAAAATGATTTGTGATTGTGTTGAATTGGGAAATAAAGATAGACATGGTTTTTTACAAGGTAGTGGTAAGATTTCATTCAGTACAGAAATGTGTAGGCGGCTTAATTTACACTGTCCTGCATTTACACAATGGGTTAATGGGGTCCAATGAGCTACAGTATGTTCCTAATCTTTGTCTTTGTGTTCTTTCATTCATTCTCTCTCTCTCTGTCTCTCTATCTCTCTCTCCTTCTACAGAGTTTGTACAGATGATGACTGCAAAGTGAACCTCGCCCGACTTGCCCCGTTCCCTCTTAGAAAAAAAAAAAAAATCTGTTTTACTTACCTCTTGGAAAAACAACTGTTTTCATTTATTCATACCGTTTCTCTATAGAAAATAATTGAATGTTGAAATAAAATATCTTTCCACACACACTTTTTTTTTTTGGGGATATAAAACGTATACAAAAAGTGTCTGCATGATATGATTAGTGACCCTGTCCCCCAGAAAATGAGTTTAGCATCAGTACTTTAAAGATGAAAAAAGTAATCCTGTAATAGCTACCTTCAAACTGAAGCAAGGCATTTGGAACCCATAGAACCTTGGAACCCCTTCCAGGTTCCATCCATCTGCTAGTGGTGATGTTTGGGCTGGCCATCTCTCACTCTCTCTCCTTTCTCTCTCTCTTCTCTGTTTTCTGGGCTTCATGCATGCAGCTTGTGACTGGAGCACTCCCTGCAGCCAATCAGAGTGTGCTGATTACACAGGGGCATCGTTGGTATTGTTGGTTTGGTACAGATTTTTGTATTTGGAGAGGAACCCTAGTGATATGGTATATGAAAGGAAAGATGGTTCTTATTCACGCTGAAAGTGGAATGGAACTTATTTATATATATATATATATATATGCGCTACCAGTCAAAAGTTTTAGAACACCTACTCATTCAAGGGTTTTTCTTTTATTTGTACAATTTTCTACATTGTAGAATAATAGTGAAGACATCAAAACTATGAAATAACACACATGGAATCATGTAGTAACCCAAAAAGTGTTAAACAAATCAAAATATATTTGAGATTCTTCAAATAGCCACCCTTTGCCTTGATGACAGCTTTGCACACTCTTGGCATTCTCTCAAACAGCTTCACCTGGAATGCTTTTCCAACAGTCTTGAAGGAGGTCCCACATATGCTGAGCACTTGTTGGCTGCTTTTCCTTCACTCTGCGGTCCGACTCATCCCAAACCATCTCAATTTGGTTGAGGTCGAGGGATTGTGGAGGCCAGGTCATCTGATGCAGCACTCCATCACTCTCCTTCTTGGTAAAATAGCCCTTACACAGCCTAGAGGTGTGTTGGGTCATTGTCCTTTTGAAAAACAAATGATAGTCCCACTAAGCCCAAACCAGATGGGATGGCATATCACTGCAGAATGCTGTGGTAGCCATGCTGGTTCAGTGTGCCTTGAATTCTAAATAAATCACAGACAGTGTCACCAGCAAAGAACCCCCACACCATCACACCTCCTCCTCCATGCTTTACGGTGGGAAATACACATGCGGAGATCATCTGTTCACCCATACCGCGTCTCACAAAGACACGGCGGTTGGAACCAAAAATCTCAAATTTGGACTCTAGACCAAAGGACACATTTCCACCGGTCTAATGTCCATTGCTCGTGTTTCTTGGCCCAAGCAGGTCTCTTCTTCTTAATGGTGTCCTTTTAGTAGTGTTTTTTTTTTGTTGCAGCAATTTGACCATGAAGACCTGATTTACACAGTCCCCTCTGAACAGTTGATGTTGAGATGTGTCTGTTACTTGAACTCTGTGAAGCATTTATTTGAGCTGCAATTTCTGAGGCTGGTAACTCTAATTAACTTTTCTGGGTCTTCCATTCTTGTGGCAGTCCTCATGAGAGCCAGTTTCATCATAGCGCTTGATGGTTTTTCAAAGTTTCAAAGTTCTTAATTTTCCGTATTGACTGAACTTCATGTCTTAAAGAAATGGACTGTCGTTTCTCTTTGCTTATTTGAGCTGTTCTTGCCATAATATGGACTACCTTGTCACAACACAACTGATTGGCTCAAACGCATTAAGAAGGAAAGAATTTCCACAAATTAACTTTTAAGAAGGCACACCTGTTAATTGACATGCATTCCAGGTGACTACCTCATGAAGCTGGTTGAGAGAATGCCAAGAGTGTGTAAAGCTGTCATCAAGGCAAAGGGTGGCTATTTGAAGAATCTCAAATATAAAATATATTTTGATTTGTTTAACCCTTTTTTGGTTACTACATGATTCCATATGTGTTATTTCATAGTTTTGATGTCTTCACTATTATTCTACAATGTAAAAAATAGTACAAATAAAGAAAAACCCTTGAATGAGTAGGTGTGTCCAGACTTTTGACCGGTAGTGTATATATTTTTTTTAATGACAAAAGAATATTACATTTTCAAAATGTTTGGCATGTTTTTTTCTTTTGTTATGTTATTTGGAGGTCCATCTAAAGTATTTGTGCGTACCTGCTCTGAAGAGGAGTGATAGAAGGAGTCTTACGGCTCCCTCTTTCTGGCAGTAAGGGAGATTCACTGGCCTTCACGTTTTTTTCTTTCTTCAGTGTTCTCGACTTGGACAGGAGTGTGACGAGATTGTTGTTGTGTTTATCTGCAGTATCCATTCTGTAGGTAGGAGTTTCAGCACAAGAGTCTTCTCCACTGTTCATCTGAGTTCACTTTACATTCATTCCAAGTTTTACATGCTAGTCTTAATATTTTTGTTTTTCAAATAAAAAAAGACCATGGACTTTGACTGGGTTTCTCGTGTGGTTATTTTAGGGGTATGATAAGATGGGTTTGACCACACGTGACAGATTTTAATATATTGCCAAATATCAACTGATATTGGATTATATCTGTAAAAGATGAGGATAAATTAGGCTTATCTCAATAATAGTCCTAGCAAATTTAATTATTCAAGATCACTGTGTTTATCCTTCGTAGGCTACAGTGTCACGTGACATCATTAAATTTTGCATAACCACTCACAGCAACATTTGAGCCTTGCAGGAAAAGGAAAAAAAAAACACCACTGTTTGCTTTCTCACTGAGCCCTAGATATACATACACATTACTGCTGTGCTTCGGCTTTCTCTCGCTCTAGATCTGAGGAGTTGCTAGGCAACAGCCGCATGCTATAAATGTTGGGGTTTTGAAAAAGGCAAGTGGGAGGTTAAATAAGCCTCAACGGGAGAGAGAAGCTTCTGTGCTGTAGCAGCCTTGTCCTAGTAAGGCAAGGCAAACCCAGGCTAACTTGTTAATGTTTCAAACTCCACAGTAATAGAGACAAGGGGTCGGTTCGCCATTCTACAGTATTACCTAAAAGTCAAGGAAGATGTAACCACATTGTTTAACCATATTTGGGTCATGATTATAGTTCGGCTGTCTGCCCCCCCCCCCCCCCCGAGTACTGATAGGAGAAACAGAGCACATGCTTCTCCATACAGTGGAGTAGCTCTGCTGTCTGTCAGTGAAAGGGCTAACATGTATAATTCTTTACCATACATGTCAAATCTCCATAGGCTATAGAATGTGCACATTCATTTTATGTGCATTCCAAATCCACACATTTTCTGTTCTGCTTAGATGAGGCCTATATAATTGTTACATCATGTTTGTGGTTCCTGTGATATATAAAACACATATCCAAGCAATGTAGACATCTGGTAATATACACAGCCATCTGTGACAAAAATGTGTACCAGGAACCATGTAGAGGACCCACACAAGAAGCACTCGCTCACACTGGCGCATATGTCAGCTAACACCACTGGAGCACCAGCAGTGAAATAGATTGAGGTTACCTTCATACCATAGGGAGCAGTTAACTAAAGGCTCCATGACAACCCACCTTCACCCCATAGGGAGCAGTTAACTAAAGGCTCCATGACAACCTAACATCACCCCCATAGGGAGCAGTTTGATGGTTGTGTGGTGCAGCCTATCAGCGTCTCCTGGTGCGCACACACACACACACACACACACACACACACACACACACACACACACACACACACACACACACACACACACACACACACACACACACACACACACACACACACACACACACTCACACACACTCTACTCTAAAGTCCAATACTGATTGTGGACAGATGTGTGTACTGTTTATACCCTGAACAAAAGCAGTGGTCGTGACAATGAACAATACCCTACTACTGACAACCGGCCAATGTGGCAGGGCTTGTGGGGGGTGGGCTTCTCCCTGCTCTGCTGACAAGTATTTTTCTTCACTCATACAGGAGTAGTAAAGGCCTAGTGCACAACTTTAGTGGGAAAAAATATATTTTTAACAAATATTGTTTTATATTAATTATTTTTTAATTCTGTGCACCAGTTTTCCCGCAAAGGTATTTGACGGGAAAGTGTGCGTATCTCAACGCAAGTCTCAGACCATGCGTACACACAACTTCTAGTAGTTGATCAATGGTATTGCAAGCAAATATTGTTATTTTGAGGGAAAATGAGGTGCTTGATGCACATTAATTATAATAATGCTAGACTAATAAAAACATAATGTAGGCAAAATGATAAAACAGCTGCATTTGCCGTTTGTAAGGAGCTCCCATGGCAGCATGTAGACTAATGTGTTTATTTTCCTTTTATTATAGGCCTAAATCATATTCATATTGCAGGGCATGTCTCTCCTTTTCTGATATGACTGGTTTAGGGGGAAGGGAAAGGGGATACCTAGTCAGCTGTACAACTGAATGGATTCAACTGAAATGTGTCTTCCACATTTAACCCAACCCCTCTGAATCAGAGAGGTGCGGGGGGCTGCCTTAATCAACGTCAACGTCATCAGTGCCGGGGAGCAGTTGTTTTTGGGGGTTAACTTCCTTGTTCAAGGGCAGAACGTTTTTGGGGGTTAACTACCTTGTTCAAGTGCAGAACGTTTTTGGGGGTTAACTGCCTTATCTTTGTGGGTTAACTGCCTTGCTCAAGGGCAGAACAGCAGATTTTCCCACCTTGGCGGCTCGGGGTTTCAAACCAGCGACCTTTCGGTTACTGGCCCAACACTCTTAACCGCTAGGCCAGGGTTTCCCAAACTCGGTCCTGGGCCCCCCCCCCCCCCCCTGGGTGCACATTTTGGTTTTTACCCTAGCACTACACAGCTGATTCAAATAATCAAAGCTTGATGATGACTTGATAATTTGAACCAGCTGTGTAGTGCTAGGGTAGAAACATAAACATTCACCCAG